CTCATCCTTGGAAACATTCAAGGACAGGCTGGATGGGGCTCTGAGCAACCTGATCTAGTTGAAGATGTCCCTGCTTATTGCAGGGTGGTTGGACTAGATGACCTTTAAAGCTCCCTTCCATCCCAAAGCATTCTATGATTCTGTGATTCTATATATAAAATGCAGATCAACATAATAGCATGTGCAATATGGAATGCAGAATGCAAAGGGTGCTGTTACCACCAAGGTCTTGGGTGCATCTGGAAATGTCCTAATGTAATAGAGGAACCCTCTGTAGTTCCTTTAAATGGCAGTGAGATGGCATAGGATTTTCTCTCCCTTAAGCTGCTTTGAAAGCACCATCATGAAGGACTGAAAAACTTGAAATAAAATAGGAGATGTGACAGACCCGTGCCCTCAACTGACAGGAGACAGAAGCATAGCCTCTCTGTAGTGGTCTGCTGTTGACTTAGAATGCTCCTATTTTCAGTGCAGAAGGAATGAAGTGGTTTTGCTATGTAGTGTGAGAACACCTGATTGTTGCTGAGAGCTACTCATGGAGGACTTGGCCTAGATTAAACTATGGTGTAGTTCCAGGTCTCACTCTAAGAGAGTAATGTCTGATAGGAGACACACTGTGAGTGTAAAAGCAAAACAGAGTATCATAGGGAGATATAATACAATATAATCAAGCATATGTACCAAAGAGTAAATAATCAAGAACCTTCTTTCAAACCTCAGGCATGTGAATGGGCTGAGCTGTTGGAGACAAGTTGAGAGCAAAGCTCCTAGTGTCAGCCACACACAAGGAAACATTCACTTTCTGCCTGAAAATCAGGAGAAAGCTGCACAGTAAAATATGGGCTGGCATGTTCTTGTACAGAGCACTGTGCCTCAAGTTCTTTACAAAGGAATCAGGAGAGGTCATGTTTTCAGAGATTTACCTGTTTGAGTAACAAAAACCGGTGAACACTAAAAACCACAGAGCACACTTAAGTTGTTTGGCTTTCCACAATGACCTCTCTGAGCAGGGGTGTTAAAACATAAATCTCTCCTGCTTGGCTATGGAGTTTGGGAAAGTGGTGGCTATGGATCACATGGAATTTCTTGGTTCCCAGCCAAGATTCCCCTGTCATGCCTCCAGTCCCCAGCTCTCAAAATGACTATGTGAGCATAACTGCCTTCCCATCTTGTAGTCCCCATGCCTCTGCTCCCTGTAATGCTCCCACTGGGTGTCTGAAGGTGCTGTGCTATGCTGGGACCTTGCCTCACCAGGGCGCCAAGGGTGTTCCTCCTGTGCAGTGCTGGTTGCCAACACTCCTGAGCTGCTGTGGAGGTGGCCCTTCTTTCCAATTCATAGGATATGAACTGGGAGATGAGCCTCTTGCTTAAGTAGCTCTACACAGAGGAAAGCAGTCCAGCTCTGCCTGAATTTGGCACGGCACAGTGTTACTCAGCAGGTGTTTTCATGGCAGGTGACATGGAAGCTGTTGGACGACGGTACTACATGGGGTGCTGCATGGATCTGCACTTTGTGAGCACTCTTTGTCATGGGCAAGAGAGCCCAGACTCAAGAAATTTTTACTTTGTTACCAATTTAATTTTTAATTTGTTACTCATGTATTGAGAAAAAGAGAATATAAACAATTAAACACTTAGGGAAACATCCTTCCCCCCCCCACCACCCCTTTTCAAGGCTCAATTTAAACCGAGCACTTCTCCCTCCTTCCTACTGCCCATGTTCCAAATGGAACTGGAAGATTTGCGTAGGATTGAAAAGAGGAAGAGTAGCTCGTCACCCATGGAAACACCAGGTTAAGCTTCCAGATCTTTTCAGTCAGCTTGTAAAAGGCCTTGTTTCAAACTGGGCAAATGGGCGTCCCAGCTGTGTGGCAGCTCCCACCCCCCTTCGCACGTGGGCTGCCTCTCTGGGGAGTTAGGTGCTAAAATGGGACCTGCTGACGTCTGATAGTGGCCGAGAGCACTTTGGCCAAACTAAGGTCTTAAGAAATTGGCTACAGTTAGCGGATAAAGATGCTACACATCTTTAACCTGTAGTCTAGAGAAAATGGGAAGGAAGGAGGGTTGAAGTCAGCAGGTCCTGGAAGCGGGGTTTGCGCAAGAGCCGGCAGGGATGGTGCCTCCCTGCATAGAATCATAGAATCGTTTAGGTCGGAAAAGACCTTTAAGATCATTGAGTCCAACCGTTAAGCTAGCGCTGCCAAGTCCACCACTAAACCATGTCCCTAAGCACCACATTTACCTGTCTTCTAAATACCTCCAGGGTTGGGGACTCAACCACTTCCCTGGGCAGCCTGTTCCAATGCCTGACTACCCTTTCAGTGAAGAAATTTTTCCTAATATCCAATCTAAACCTCCCCTGGCATGGGGGAGAGGTGGAGGGCCATAGGAGGTGGTCTGACAAAGCACAAGTGATATTGCTCCTTTGAGAAGGGGCAGCAACCACAATGAGCAATGCTTTCTGAAGACCCTTGTCAGTAGCCTGGTGGTCCCCCTCCAGCTGCTTTCAGCATTGCCATGTGGTCATCCTCCATGTCTCCTCCCAGTAGAAATTAAAATCTCTTTTTCATCCCCAGGCAAAGCCAGTTGCCAGACTCCCCACCGGACTCTGGATCGGAACCGTGTTCTCCGCCACAGCTCCAGAGTAGGTTACATGACTTCTGCCTCTCCCAAGCTTGCAGGAAGGTCTCCAGCTCCTCTTTCTCCTTAATTTCTTGTCTGTTTACTTCTTGCAGCCACGTGGTATGATGCTACATGGCCCAGTGGGCTGCAGGCTCCGCTCCCATGCCCATCTGCTGCGGCATCCAGCGGGCTTCCTTGCAGGTTCATGGAGACTTACTCTGACCCCAGTGCCAGTGGGCATCCCTGCAGCATCCCCCAAGGCTGCTGTCTGAAGACAGGAAATGCTGTGACTCCTTGGAATAATTCTACATCCTCCAGCTGTTTGGGTTTTAATTATTCATACTTTCAGCCAAATGCATCTCAGATTTCTGGGTAAATGATAAAGCTTTTATGCAAAGGATGAGACAAATAGAAGAAAAAATAGAGCTGGTAGAAGACGTGGTTTAAGACTGGTGTAAAATCTCCGTGGGTACAGGGTTTTCCACAGGGTGGCAGTGTTTAGACATTTTTGTGACAATTGTGGTGGAGGGTGCTTTAAACATCTTGATTGAAGTTCAGATTGGAAGTAGGAATGGATTTCAATTTTTAAAACGTTAGGAGGCTCAAGAGGGATCAACAGGTGCTTCATAACTGGATTGTAAAAACATTCAGGCGTTTTGCAATACTTGGTGCAGGGATTTGTCCATAAGGATCTAGTAAGTGTTCTGATGAGTGGTATGAGAGAAAAAAAAAACACTTGTCATATCTATGTAAGCAAGTGAAATGGTATTCATATACCATCTGCCATATTCACCCACCAGCATGTTGTGGATGCTTAATTATTTAAAATACGCTGGCCAGTGTAAGCATCCAACCATGATACCTAGGAAGAATGAATTGACTGATGCATGCCAGAGGGGGACCTCCCTGGTTATGGGGAGAGAAATGTGAATTCATCAGTGTTAGTCCTGGGCTTGCAGATGCTCTGTCCCTGTCTCCTCTTCTATACAGAGCTCAGTTACGTGTTACATGTGATGTGGGGGAAGGAAGCTGCGCTTGGGTTTCTCAGTGAAGCTATTTGTGTTCTTTATTTGTTTGCTTTCCAGTAGACAGTGCCAGTTAGTCAAAATCGTATTATTTTTTGAGGCAATACTTTGGTTATTGGAACTTAAGATACAAAATACTTCTTAACCAGATGTGGAACTTTTGAACAAACCCAGAAAAAGAATAACAATGTTCTGCTCATGGAGAAACCTTAGTTTGAGTACCTACTGTGCTTTTGGAATAAGGTTTTTTCCCTTTGCACAAAGGAGCACTTTTTGAAATCTCAGTTTCTAGGAAAGGGGAAAACTGCTACCCATCAGTTTCCCCTTGAGATCTCTTCATTAACGCATTAGTTTAACTGCTACTACTGTTTCCCATATAAGAAGGAAAGCAAGTTCACACTTGGAGTGCAATTATTTAAGATAAAGCTGTGGTTTTAACACAAATGTCAGGAGACAATAAAACCGTGCTATGTATGCACTGTGTAAATTTTTAAGAAGAGATCAACTTCTCTATTCATATGAAATAAACAAGTAAACTAATTTATGTTTTGGAAGGAAAAATTGCATAATTCAGTTTTAAAAAGCCAACAGCAATCTCCTCCCCCCGGCAAATCAGAATTTGGGTGACAATACTGTTAGAATGAGATACCTGGGTATTCTCTTGTTATGATTCTGTAATATCTGTATTTATACTTATAAATGAGTAATGCAACGTGTATTTTTAAAAAAGTATTTCTGCAGCATCAGGCAAAAAAAGGAAGCTGTCACAATTACTGGGTGATGCCACTGATTCTCCAGTCCAGTCTCAGGACTCCAGACAAGGTAAGCAAATATGCGAAGATGAAATATCATGCTTCATACCATAGGCAAGTAAATATTTTAAGAGCACAGCTCCTGATGGCTCTGAAAAGGCAGCGGTATTAACAGTCTGTAGTCCACTACCAGGTTTGGAGGAATTTACCTTTTCAGTGTTTTTGAAAACCAGGACCTATTTATATTTGACGAAGAGAAAAGAAGTGTTAGAGGCTCATGTTTCCTGAGGACTCTCTGGGCAAAATATTCTGCCCTTCTCCATGTGTGAGCCTGCAGTACACAGATGATACTGTACTCTGCTGACTTTGCTTGGCGCTAAATTGACTGGGCAAAGAAACCATCTTGGGTCAGCTTAACAGGGAATTAATGTGGTGGATGAGCAAACAGATTGCAGTTTCCCTTTATCGTCTCAACTCCATATTTTTTCTACAGAGTGTATCCATGCGTAAGCTTGGTAAAAGCTGTGTGTTCTTCCCCACCCCTTCACCAAATTAATTTGGTTCATTGTTCCATCAAGATAAAAATGCTAAGCTTATACCGATTGATACAAAAAAGCTTATCAGGCATGTACAGAAATGGATCAGCTTCTGTGAAGTGTGAGGCTCTCTGTGAATGAACAGTTTGTAATGAACAGTTTATCTGAGGAATTTCACCCTTGTCTTTTAGTGGAAAATTTGACAGTTGCTGGTTATTTCCTTAGAGTAAGTTATTTTTAAGCATTAAATCAATCTTTTAGAATGCTTTTAATGAGTAGTAACTGGATTTAGTAGGTTACTTATCCTTTGGTATCTTTTATTTGATCAGCGTTGCTTGATTGTGACTGGTCCTCTAGGTCTACCACTGCTGGGAAGAGCTGAGCAGTCACTTCTGTATCTAAAATTGCTATTGCTGTTTTTAGTACTTAAAGACACAGCTTTGAAATATCCTTTTCTTGGGAGTCACTGTTAATAAAACCTCACTGACACACGTGCTATTGGAAAAAGAACACAGCCATTGGTAAAAATGGCATGGGGATCATTTAGAAATGAGGTGTGAATTTCTTTACTGTGGGTGGCATTTTTATATTTTCACTCTGCTGTATGTCGTAAGTGGGGAATTGCAAATGAAGCTTGGGCCTGAAATGATTCTGTAGGCTCCGTCTTGCCATGCTGCCACTGGCTGTGGACGGATCTTAGTTTATATGCTCAATGACATATTTTCTCCTGTCCTTACTGCACTCCATTTATCTGTCTCTCTTATCACATTCTCCTCTGTCTTCATAAAATGTATAATATCTGAGAGAATTATGGTTGACCCTGTCTATCTCTGAATGCTATAGTGTATAGTCAGAAAGCATTAACCAGTGAACCAGGGGTAGTGGTGAATGTGCTTGCTATTGGAAAACTGTGTCTCTTGCTCTGGAACAAAGTACCTTTTGCAGTGAGTTGGAGTACATTCAGTTTAAACCTGTAGTAGAGAGAATGGGAAACATATGTCATTATTTTGCTTAATTACTTCTTGTAGTGTTGCAGATTTACAGTAAAATGCTTAGCTTTCCTCCCCCCCCACCCCCCCCAAAAGGAAACTGTCCATCCTTGCAGGGAGAATACAAATAGCAAGTGCTACTTGTGTAATATTTTGCAAATCGGGAACGCTAAAAAATTTATTTTCTAGGATAAGGGAATATAACATAATCTTTTGGAATAACTGCAAAGGACAATCAGATTTAAATATATATGCAATATATTTGTGCTTTATATATATGTGTATATATATATGTAAATATATTTATAAAAATGTTTATGCAGGATTTTTGGCTAGTCACAAAAGTAATAACTGAATTGTCACTATCTTTCTACAGCAACCGTTAAGGACTGTGCTCCTGAAGTGCAAGAATATGACAGTGATGGACAGAATGCAGCTTTGGAAAGATGCTGTCAAGCTCTGACATGGCAACCGTATCAAACTTCTCAGTGGAACAGCTTATTTAACTCTAATTATGAAAAACTGTAAGCACTGATGTTTGCACTTGGAAAAAGTGGTTTCTCGGTGTTGTGGGTTTTTTTTTCTTTTCTTTTTTTTTTTTTTTTTCCTGGTATTGCACTTTTGTAGGAATAAATGATACATTTGGCATCCCTTGTTCTTACTGAAAATAAGACTGGAGAAGGAGGTATAGCAGGCATGATAGAATATGAATCTGCAGATGTATCAGGTCAGCAGAACTTTAAACACTGGTTGAAATTCCTGCCACTTTTTCTGATTTACCTTCAGGGATTTACGGGCAAAAGAAAAATGAGTTTAACTTAAAATACCTGTTATTTTTTGTCTCTTTTGTCAAGCACATTAAGCATATGGCATCTTTCCCTCTGATGGCCTAAAACATTAAAGAAAAATGGAAGTAGAAGATACCTGTATTACTTCTGGGCTCATATAACCTAAGTCTTAATAACTAGAGACATATATATATGACGTGCAACTGTTTAGTCAAAGATTTAGAGTTTTCCTGTATGAATCAGAACTGTAAATCAGTTTTTTGCCACATGATCTGGCAAAGGTGATTCCAAGTTCACTTTACATCCCTGGTGTTCTCCATTCTAGTATTTAGTGCGTGATCCCTTTTAACAGAAGCCTTTCTACAGTGTCTGGTTTATTCCCCAGGATTGGTGCAAACAATTTGTCACTATTGCCACAGGACTTAAATAGCATAGTAAATTTTAATTTTCCTCTAGCCCAACCTGCTAAAAGCACTCATGGGAATTCGGAGTGTATCAGCGTCATTGCTGGACACTGACGTTCCCTGTTTGCGCACAGCTGTCCGCATCTTACTGTGTCCCACACAACCCTTCTCCTAAGGTATTGACATGACAAGAGAGCAGGCAGCTCATCGTCCACACCTTTCTATTCCTTGGGAGCTGGATGGGCCAGGAAACCTCCAGCCGTGTTTGTGGTGTGAGTTGTCACTCTAAATGGAAGTGGCTTCCAACTCCTGTTATGCTTTCAGTTAACAACTACATTAGAGCTGTGAGGTGATGGTGGGAGATTGCTCTCCTGCTGCTCCCCAATTACTTGTTGGTTCCCATATATTTAAAATTGAAGTTCCAGACTCTCATTTCTTGGAGGCTTGTGTCAACAAAGACAATGTGATGCTGAGTATTAAAGCATCCAAATACATGTACTGTTACCCTTTGCTGTGGAAGGGGATTGAGATATTACTTGCAGAGGAAGTCAGAGTTACTTTTAAGTGAGGTCAATGGCAGTGCCTTTGTTCCAAGGTGCGCTGTAATTACGGCACAGTGCACAGATTTTCTGAGTAGTGATCCTGTATTCTGTTAGCTTCAAGAGAGTCATGTGCTTATCGCTGCTCACTGTAGATGGATTGGTCCCATACCTTGAAATTGCTGTGCCCACTTTAAGGACATTTCTCAGGTTAATTATTATTTTCCATTTCATTCATCCAGTATTTTAACCTTTTGATTATTTCATTTTCACAACAAAATGCTGGTAACAGAGGTAGATTCATTAGAAAAGGTGACTCTACCATTAATTGTGCCCTGCATTGTATCTCCTGGGCACTTTTTTTAGCCCTGTGCCCTGTTACCATTGTGATTGGCGGGACTCGGTTCCAAAGATGCTGTCTGAAGGGTGAAATTCTGAATAGAAAGAGGAATTCGAAATGTAGTAGGGATGCTTGTGTGACAGGGATATCTCTTGCTATCTAAAAGTTCTTCAAGTTTTACAGTACTGCTTAGTAAGACTGACCATTCTTTGGGCAATCGGAACAAAATATGTATTTGCTCTGTAAATGGCATACTCAGAAAATGATAAACATGAAATTCCTCTTTGGGAGTCATTGTTCCAAACAATTAAACTTGAAGAAATGGAAATTTGTACTTTTGCTTCTCAATCTGCTTGCATGTGTAAGCAAGTACTCTGAAATTGCTTTAAGAATATTAGCTAATAAATTTGCTTCACACCTATTTCCCTACCATGAAATACACACATTTCCTACATAAATAAAAAGAATTACCAGTTGTAGAAAGAAACTGAAGAAGTTTTGCTTCTTTAGTAATGATGGCTTGAGGAGATGGTAGACACTTCATTATAATTTTAAATATGAATTAACATATGACTTAGTAGTTTTGAAGTAGTTACAAAGTAGTTTTCTCTTTATTCCCTGTCCCAGATAATCAGGGATTATTTGAAAGGGGCCTTTTGTTCATAATTTATAAAAAGATAATAAAGTCTGTACATTTCTTGTAAAGTCTGTACATTTTGATTTTTCAACTAAAAATGTGCAAACGAATGGATGAGTTCTGAAAAGCCATGTTCAGTAATTGTGTTAATGAGAGGTTCTCAGTAGCATCAGACAGGATCACCGTTACCAAATTTTCATTAGCAAGAAAAGCCAATGCCCATATAAGAGAACCTTGCCATGTAGTCCTATTATTTCAGAATTATCCACCACTTAAATCAGAGAACTGGAAACATTGTTGGAATGGTGAGCTCAGTGGCTCTTTTAGAAAGATCTTTTGATACCTTTCCTTGATTGCTGTGAATCATAAGGACAGAATACGCTTTCTTTTTGAGTGACAAATTAGCCCTTTGAATAAATAGAATAGGGTTTCCTTAGTTGGGGTAGGACGGACAACATTATAAAGGAGAGTTTTATAGTCATCTGGCCAGAGGGTCAGTATCGGTAGCTTTTCTTTTAGCCTGAGTAAAGCTGTATTTGAATCCCAGCAGCTTCCACAGAAGCACTTGGTGTGGGAATTCGGAAACAAAATAGGGAGTCTTGCTGGCTCATTAGCACCTTGTTGTCTGCAGCCCTAGTTCAGCTCTGTTGTTTATAGCAATGTTATAAAGAATACTTGAATACACTAAAAGATTTGGTTGTGCTTTTAGGTGAAGAGAGTTCCTTTATACCAGATTTGCAAGTGAGGATTATGTCAGCTTCTTCACCTCTGGTTTCCAAACATTTCATGTGTCAGTCTAGAATTAGAGTATGCTTTATATGCATTTTCATTTTTACACCTCTAAGAGGCTAAGAAGAAAATACTGGTAGAATTGGTGATTGTAAAAATGTATTTTGGCTCTCATTTTGTTAGTAAAAATGAGATGGATTTTCAGACCACAGAAAAAATAGGAACTCAGGATGTCACTCAAATATGCCTGTACATAAAGTTGCTATTCTTCTTGTTTTTGTAGACCCGCTATAGGATATCACATTGTCACAGATAAAGGATTTAATTTTTCAACAACAGATGATGCCTTTGTGTGCCAGAAGAAGAATCATTTCCAAATCACAGTCCATATTGGAATCACTGGACATCCAAAATATGTCAAAACTCAGCTGGGGGGGAAACCAATAGAAAACTTTTACTTGAAAGCTTTTGGAATAAAGGCAAGTATTTCTCCTCTTTGTGATTATTACTTTTAATAAGTTAGTATGCGATTATCCATATAATAAGGTAAATAATTGGAACAAACTCTTTTCTTAGTCATTTTTGACCAAGAACTGACAAAAGAGAACTCTTTTAAGTTACTAGTGACTTGTGTGTGGAACTCTTTTGCAAAAAAAGTGATGTTTTATGGATGCTTGTGCTGATACATGCTGAAAGACATGTTTGCCTGTTTGCCATGGTTTCACTGACTTCCCTCTCTTTGGCTAAAATTTTGTTCCCTCTGTGGGCAGTGCAGGGGCATCATCTGGTGTGTCGGTGGCCAGTCTACTCATCGATCAAAAAGATGTGTTGAAAAAAACAATTCACAAAGCAAAAAAAAAAAAGAATCAAATCTGTTTTTCCTGAACAATTCACATGTAGAAAACCAACAAAATTTCTCCATTTCTTCTTGCCAGGCTTTCCATTTTCACTTTAAGAACCAAATTCTTCCCAGCCAATATGGGTCCACAAGCTTGTATATAAGGAAGTAGTAAGAAATTTTAATCTTTCTGAAAGATTTTACCAGGCTTTCTACTGACTACCAAAATTCAGTGATTTAAAAAAATCCACGTAGCTGTTTTACAAGGCAGTTACTACCAGCTTTGCTTAATGCATTCTAATGCAGAAGAAATTAGTGAATATTACTGTCATCTGTTCCGATCTGAAGCAAAGCGCTGCCTGGTACCATTCCAGAAAGGTACAGAAATTTACATTAAAATAACTTATGGAACCACCTTGCATAGGTTCAGTTGTCATGTTAAATATCTACATTTATGCTTTGGGATAGAATGAGCCAATAACATTTAGATTCAGAAAGCAATTTTTCTTTCGCAAATTAATGCATGACTTTTCCCTTCTTTTTTCTTTTCAAATTACATCCACAGAATGATTTGGGGCTTCAGACTAGCTGGAACACAGCCCTGTCAGGTGTCAGTTGATCAGGAGTCAACTCACGTTATTTTCTCTACAGTTCCATGAGAAATGAGAGAGATTTCACTGTTTCAGACACAATTTGCCTATTAATTTCTATTGCAAATTGTATGTGTTTGAAAATTTAATATTCTCGTTATTTTTGAAAATTCTTTTTTCTTTATAGGTGGAAGCTCCAAATCAAACAATTGCTATTGAACAGTCTCAGTCAGATCGAAGCAAAAAAACTTTCCATCCTGTTAAGTAAGAATTTTGAGAAATTTATTCCATTTTATTTCAATACTTGATTGGTCAGAAATGTGAAGCAGTTGTTTCTTAGAAACTTACAGTAGCTCTAAGCCAGTCTTCTGATCTTCATCCAAATTCCATTCTGGGGCTGCACATAGAATCACAGTGGTAATATATATAGTCTCCTTTCATTGAGGAAAAATTGCAGCAGCTTTACAAATGTGTTAAGTATGCCTATCCAAAATATTTATATTCAGCTAGCAACACTGTTGTATGGTGTTTAGAGCTGTAGGGCAGATGCATTTCCCATCCTAAGCAATGTCAGTAATGTTCCTGTTCTACATGGGCATGAGATGTATTTGCAGTGCTTTTAAGGGGGAGTGCCTCTGCTAGAAACATACGTGCACCTTCTCCCTGGAACTCTCTGCCATTCTTCTGCATCTTAACTCGCTGGCGGAATCAATGTTGTGTCTTCTGTTGGAGCTGTTCTGTTCTCTATAAAGAACTAAATAAGCCTTAAACCAGAAAAAGATAAGACAGTGTCAAGTTTGACAGGACGGTGCTGTGATAAAGGCTGCAATATATATTCTGCAAAAATGAACTTTGAGCTTGGGAGAAGAGCTCGATTTTCACTTAATTACCTCTATTATGGCATTTTTCTTCCTTTTGCATACTGAAGAGTAGATTCTGGGTGTAAATAGTTGCATGGGTGATGATGGTGTAGTTTTCATTTATACCAGATGAGAACGCAGTCGGTGGATTTTTGTTTTCCCCATGCAAGCTCTTTATTCACATTATTTATCACTTACAGGAGCAGTGCCACTATGTATTTGAGACATAGGTCTATATTTTATACTTCCAGCCATAAAAATCAGGTGCAGGTGAAAAAAGGGACAAGCAATAAAATTTATTTATTTTAATGTGGAAATTCAGATCCAATAATAAGCAATGTTACCCTTGGCAAGCAACAAATACCCATCATATGGAACACATACGGTTTTATTATGTTCAAGACTCTGTACAAACAAACCAAGAAACACAAGACTCCTATCACTAACAACAGTTTCACACTGCTGGTGCTTTATCCTGTTTGTTTATCTCCTTGACATAGTCATTGTGTTTTTAATGCATTTTTATAAACCAGGGTTACTGCATTTTTACTGGGGTTCCTCTATTTTTTCATTTGTCAGTTTTTCTCAGAACCGTTTTAATGAGTTTGAGGAAATCTGGCTTGAGCCAGGTAGATCTCCAAATGCTTATTTCCCAATCTTGTTTCTTTTTCTGTTTTAGAGTTGATCTGCCAGGGGACCAGATAACTAAAGTAACACTGGGAAGGTTGCATTTCAGTGAAACAACAGCAAATAATATGAGAAAAAAGGGGAAACCTAATCCTGACCAGAGGTATTGCTGTAGCTACCTGGCCTGTGTGTGTGAAGTGGAAAAGAGAAGGTCTACTTTAGAATGGAGTTAATGTTTGTGAAAAATCTCAGCGTTGCCAAATCCTGTGACTTTTTTAATTTCAAATTCTGTGATACTTGGTATCTGCTTAAAGGCCTCTCTTTTAAAGTCACAGAATGATGTGAGAATAAAAGAAAATATCCCAGTCTCAAGGTTAGAGATTGTTTCAGGAAATCACAGCCAGAATGTTGGCTGATGAAATCAGGCAACCAAAAAACCAAATAATGATTGTTTTCTTCTGGGGAAGGAAGGGTCTTCATCTCTGAGTCTTTATTACTTAAATTTTTCAAAATTACTGTAATCTTTGTTCATTTTCAGTGATTGTGGGGCTTGAAAGAACATATTACTTGAGAGTGAAGGAAATGGTTTTTCTTTCATATTGTAACATAAATATATTTTTTAAAATGTTCTGGCTATCTTTTTATGTATCAGTAATAGCAGTTGCATCTAAAACATTTTAATTTTTTCTGTGAGAAGACATTACTTCAATTATTACCTTGATTAAATCAATTTCAAATCAGATACTTCATGCTGGTAGTTGGACTGTACGCTGTCTCTCAGGACCAATTCTACTTACTGTCTGCAAACGTCTCTGAAAAGATCATTGTGAGGGTAGGTAGAAATTTATATTGCTTTCATGTGAAAAGTATTTACAAAACTGTTTTGATATTCACAGGAGACTACGGGGGGTTGATTCTTGGGCAAAAAAATTGCCATTGAATGAAAATGAGGGAAAAAAATTACAGTTGCATATTGTATGAGTATATTGTTATCTTTTAATTATTGGGATTTTAAAATGTTAAAAGTAGAGCTATAGAAGAATTGAAAAAGAAAGCCTGTTATGAACTCCAGTACAAAATACACTGATTTTTCCAGATTGTTTTTTCTTTGAGGTGAAACAATTTCCTACACTCACCAGGAATTTGGTAAATGTTTTCATTGGCTAGAGGCTTCATTTTCAAAGGAGGATGAGAATGAAAAAAAATGGAAGGAAAGAAGGTCAAGCAGCTCTAGGAAGATTAAGACCCACAGATGCCCCTTTCCAGTGTGTTTCCAGAGTGTCCCAGCTCTTAATTTGGTGGTTGTAATGTAGGTTTCAACATAGAAAAAGGAAGAATTGGTCTCTCTTCCTCATGACCATTACTTTTCAGTCCTCTGATCCACATACGGTTTTCCTTTTAGTACTCAGCTTTAGCTTACAGTTAGAGTTGGACTTGGAAGAGAGAAAAACCCCAGAGCTCTCTTTTAACAGGAGCTGTGGAGGGTTAGGGTTAGGAGAGAGATGAAGTACAGAGCCCCAGCATGAGTGGGGTTGCAAGGGGGCTGCCAAGGGAAGGTGGGGGCTGCAAAAAGCTTTCAGTCCTGGCCCCTTTTTCGTGTGACCAGTAGCTGGTGGTTAACGTTTGAACTGGGCATAGTCTAGGGTTATGGTTATTTCTAGGGTGAAGATTATGTTTAGGGCTTAGAAAGATAGGAAATGCATAGGTGCCATGTGGTGGGGCTGCAAAGGATGGTGAGGGCCTCCAGAAGATTGTGGTCCAAGTGAACTTTTTCTTGTGGACCAATTGAGGAGCTGCTTCTTGTTTACACGGAGTCTTTCTAGTCCTTGGCTTATGGTGAGGAATAGGCTTAGCATTTTGCTTTAGAGTCACATAAGACCAAGAGCTCTAGTGTATTAAGTGGGGCTGGGAAGGGGATCCTAAAGAAAGGTGAGGGCTGTCAAAAGCTTTTAGTCCTGCCATCATGTTTTGTAGGCCATTGCTTGGGTCCTTTTTGGCGGCACATCGTCTGCCTAGGTTTATGATTACAGCCTGGTTTAGCATTTGGGTTTGGAGAGAACAAAAGTGCAAATCCCCAGTACGTGTGGTGTTGCACAGGGGTTTCCAAAGGAAGATGAGGGCTTTCAGACGGTTTCAGTCCTGGCTTCTTTTTCATCTGGGCCATAACTTTGTGTCCTCTTGTGCCATAAAGCCTCTTCCTGTGGTCACAGTTAGGTTTTTGGAGGGCAATATGGCTGAGAGCTCCTTTCTGGGTGGAGCTGTGAAGGGGCTTTGAAAACAATGTTTGGAATTCAGTAGTCTTCTGCCCTGCTGAGTCTTATCATCCTGGCTGTTGCTGTGGGTTCTTTTATTTCAGGACACTGAAGCACTGTTTGCATCGTTCCTGCATATTTAGTTCTTTTCCTTTTTTGTCCATTAATTTCCACTATATTGCTTTCGCCTGAATTTCTCTTTCTGCATCTAGCAGTGTTACAAATATCATCTCTTCACTAATTTGGGAAAGCTGTTGAATTATCAAATTTAACTTATCCTTGTGATTATTGTTACCTTATAAGATGTATATTTTTATGTAAGATTTAGAAATTTACATTTTTCCACCATTTTTAATGTTAGATTCTTTTGAAATTTCAATGAAGAGAGCTTCTTCAATGTGTGTGAGAGAGTTTTTTAACAGGAATCTAGGGAATGAGATTTTGCAAACCTGGCCACTATTCCAGACAAAGAAAAAAGAAGGCAGAAAAGCAGAAGGCTCAAGAGGCTGTGATTTGAAGTGGTGACAATATCAACAGGAAAGCTGGAAAGAAAAAAAAAAAAAAAAAAAAAGTCCTTTTCCAGATGTCTGGGGCCCCAGCCACTGGCTACCTTAAAGTGGCAAAGCCATGCAAATCCACTGTGAGAGAAAGCAACTCATGTTCTGGCCCTTTATATGCTCAAACATAACATAACAAAACTACCAGCTGAGTAGTGGTTATCAGGCATATCAGATCATGCTCTAATTGTGGCAAACAGTGATAAGTGCACAGCACCATGCCTTGTAGGTGGCAAAGCCTTGTGAAAGCCTGGCTTTTTCAAATGAGTGCGAACTTTTTATAGTGATCATAACTTTTGTTCAGACTCAAATTTTAAAGCCTGAATTCAAAGTTTAAAAAAAACCCAAAAACCAAAATTAGCTGCTGAAATCAAGTGCCTTTTCTAAGCATACACACTCCGTTGTTTTTTTGGTGTTCTTCGAAAGACCTTGTCTCCTTGACATGAATTTCTAATATGAGTTAATTTTAAACATTACAGAGGATTTTATGAACCATGTGTGTGTAATCTCTTCCTTGTTTGCTCTTTTCTGATTTCCAGCCTTAGCTAAAATTTGCTGGTAAGTAAATGGTTATGTAGCATAATGTCAAAGTTAAAATTTGGAAAGCTTTGGACATTGATAATTTAGCTTAAGGTGATAATGAAGTAGAATACAAGGGAAAAAACAATGAGGCCAATGCTGTATGAGTAGAAACACTTACTTAGAAGTGACTCCACTCTGTTTTTTTTCTGTCGGTGTGTTAGAAAAGCTCTTGAATACAATTTAAATATTAACGATTTGGCATTTTATTTTCCCTGAATTCATGATGGAATAAGCAGTAGTGCATCTATGCTATACTGTATCTTTAAACATATTTTTTTTTTTCTTCCAGGCATCTAATCCAGGGCAGTTTGAGAATGACAGTGATGTACTGTGGCAGCGAGGACATGTTCCAGAGACAACAGTCTATCATGGTCGAGTAGGAATTAACACAGATGCACCAGACGAAGCACTGGTTGTCTGCGGAAATGCAAAAGTTATGGGCAGAGTCATGCACCCATCTGACAGCCGAGCAAAACAGAATATCCGGGAGGTGAGGGCTGTGGAGTATTTAGGGCATTTATGTTCGCACCACAGCACATGTGTGGATCATTGTTCTGACATGTGAAGAAGCTTCTTTATCCTGGGTGTGCTGAAATGATGGCCTAAAGAAATCGGGTGTACCTCTGTGCTCTGTAGAGCCATCGCCTATGGACTTGGGAAGAGGCTGACGGTAGAAGCTGGGGATATCTGTGTAAATGGGAGTTGTCAGACTGAAGAGTAACTGGCAATACAAATACAAATAGCACTCTGCTAATGGGGAATGGGAAGATTGTCTGTATTTTTCGATGCCAAGATTGGCCAAGTGACCATGTCAGGCTTGTTGTTGTCTCACTGAAGTCCTACATGCGATGACCATTCTTAATGTTTCAACATATGAATCTTGGTATTTGCCCAACTAGGTCGATACGAATGAGCAGTTGAGAAGAATAACACAAATGAGGCTGGTGGAGTATGACTACAAGCCTGAATTTGCATCTGTTATGGGAATAAAAAATACTCATGAAACAGGTATTCGGTCAGCTCTGTTCCCATTTTTCATTAACTTCCACTGTTGTTCATTGTGCCATAGTGCTTTTTAACACCCTGCTACTTCATCCTCATTTCTTAGGATACTACAATTGAACACTTTTCTGTGTTTCTCTTGTGATATAAAAATGCCAAAATTAAGTATTTCTGGTAATTTTCCAACTTCTCTTTCAATTTTTAAAAATAGGAGGTTATTTTTCCAGAGGTTTAATGAAAATGAAGTACGTAATCACAAACAATTTTGTTCTTATTGCAGAGAAATGGGAATTCCTAAAGTTTCTGTTTGTTTTCTGTGGAATGAAAAAAAAAAAAAAAAAAAGTGAAATCCTGGAGTTTCCTACCACAGAGAAATTCTAGATCATGTTTGGCCCTATCTGTAGCTTTTAGGATGGCCAACTCAAAACACACAACCATGGTCAATGGTATGCCACTGTTTTTCCTGACTTTAGTTTATGTTATCTTGTGAACAGGAATAATAGCCCAGGAAGTGAAGGAGCTGTTACCTCAAGCTGTTAGAGAAGTTGGAGATGTTTCTTGTAACGATGGAGAAAAAATAGAAAACTTCCTCATGGTTGACAAGGTATGGTCTTGAGAGAGAAAGTGGAGGAGTGTATTTTGGCTGTTCCTTTCGTGTATGGAGCTACAAACACACGCTATGCTTTATACAGAGCCGTAGGCCTCCACATGTATTTACAAAAATAGTGCTTGGCAAAACATTGAGAAAAACTGAACCACGAGGTGTTAGTAAATGGCTGAATCTTTTAATGACAAAAAGTATTTACATTAAAATCTTGTTCTAATAATAAATAAACATACAATAAAAGAGAAAAGGAAGAAAACTAACTTTGCTGAATAAAGGTGGATAGCGATTTCATAGCATTGGTCTAACAAGTGGGACTCCAAAACATTCTTCTGTGTTTAAGTGTTTAAGTTAATTAAGTGTTCCAGAAGTGAATTAAGCAATGATGGCATTCTATTTGTTAAATAAAAACTTCCTTACTCTAGTCCTGGTGTAATCACTTCATACCGAATACAAATGCTAACTCCGTGTACTCTGTTGGAAGGTTTTTTTAGCCATCTGAAATCCTTATTATAGCTTCAAAATCATATACTGTAAAATGTTTATGGCACACAAAGCAATTAGCTTGCTCATAGGTTGGAAACAATGCCTTAGTCTATTGTCCTGTGCTCTTTTCCCCTATTTTTCCTGTAGAAATAGGACTGCAAGGGACTGTCAGTCAGAGTCCAGTCAGACATGGCTGCAGACAGCACTTGTCCGCAGCATTGCTCAGAGCAGCCCCTCTGTTGTGCACTGGTTCACTGCAGGTCAAGGACCGCTTCCCAGCTTTTTCCCCACTTACAGCTGATAATGGGAATAAGGGAGGTTTTACAGATAGGTAACCTTGTCTTGTCTGGATGATGTCATGAACACGATCCTGTATTCATGATAATCATGCATTCTTTCATTATTCTATAGAAAACACAAGTTTACACCACCAAACTTGTAGAAAATATCTATTAGAAATATTGCATTTCACTTTTCTTTTGATAGGCTACAAATAAGTCAAATTCATAGGTTAAATCTGCTAGGCTTCCATATAAAGGAAGCATGAATTGGACACTTTGAATAAAGCTGTGGAAAGAGCACTTTCTAGAGATACTGTTGAAAAGGAGACTTTTAGAAAATTTGCTGTATTTGGTCAGGGTTCCAGCCTGTAGCCAATTTCTAGATGCTCATAGAAGCGCAGCGGTGTTAGATAGTGACACTAGGTTCATTTTGCCCTTTAGCCCTTCCTCTTACATTGTGCGACACCTGCAGCGTCATTTGCATTTTTGAGCCGACACAAAACTGCTTTGGGGTAGTCAGTTTTTTTCTGACAGAACTTTTAGGTTGGACAATTGAGCTTTCTATTTATATATCTCTTTGCTGAAATATCACACAAAATACCATCTGTAACAGTGCCTCACAGTACTGCTGTTTGGGCCCGTCATGTTCCCTGCTGCACCCTGCAGGGCATGATTCTGCCATGGATGTTGCCCAATCAGGAATGAGTTGTCACAGCAATGGCTTATTTGCTGCTTAGCGTTTTCTTGACTACTTGGCTAGGACTGGGATCACTTCACAAACACTTTGACATTGTTTTAACACAGTTAGGTAAATCTGTGCTTTCTCCCTTTTCTCCTAACACCTGTGAACGTCAATTCTGTGACCCTTAGGGTGACAGGGGCAGGAGAGATCTGCGTCTAACAGTTTAAGGTGTATATTGAAGTCAGAGGTTTGGAAAATCTGATGTCCAGGTGGAACATCTGTTTTAAATGTTTGGAGCTCCCAACTCCAGAATAGCTCAGCACCTTGAGTAGTAAATGGACATTCCTTCATATCTTTGCTTTCAGTTAGGCAGGTGATGAGGCCTTGAACTTTGTTATCTCACATCCCAAGTTTAGTTCCAGATAAGCAGGATATTGGTTGGTTTGCTTGTGTCTCTTTGCCAGTTAATTGTTTGGAGCTGTCGAACTCTGTAAAAGAAATTGATTGCATTACATGTTTGAACCAGGCTCTTTCTAGAACTTTCTAGAGAAAGGTCTCAACTGTGTGGAAATTTGCTATTTTGGGACAAGAATCTTTCTTCCCTTCTCATTCGCACTGTGCTCAGTACTTTGTCATCAGTGAGGCAGTAAAAGTCTAATCAGTCCTTTTTTCCCAAAGAAAGTCTTCCTTCATTTTGCCAGATGAGCCATTTTCTCAGCTAGTTGAAGTCACGTAGAAAAGATTCATGCAAGATTTGAAGAGAATGGAAAGGACAGCTGCTACACATCACTGATGTGAGGACAAGTGACCGTGTAAATGATTTCACAGTTCTAGGCACAGGAGGTTATTTTGAAGTCACTTTTTAGCTAAACAGGCTGTTGGTCTTCTGGCAGTAGAAAAGTTTGCAACTTACCACCGATACCTGTGCTCTGGTTCTGTTTATACAAAATACTGTCTGTTTTTGCGGAATGCAGTCACCTTTAAAAGAGAGGTGTGTGTGGCATTTACAACGTGAAAGGCAAAACTCTGCTTTTGCCTTACTTCTGCATGACTTGACTAGCCTGGAACGCTTAGCAACATTAACTGCAGTAATAGCTTCATCCAAGGTTTAATGGCATCAGTCTGGTTGTACATTAGTACGAGAAAGCTGTTCTTTCAAGCACAGCAAAGAAAGTATGCTGTTACCATGCTCCTGCAGTGGATCAGTAACCATTTTTGGCTCAGAAATGGATAAAATACTTATTACCTGGATGGTTGTACTGAGGGCTTCTCCAGCAGCAGATTGATACCTAGATGATAAGCAGGCTGTAGAAGAATAGAAGGCTTTTCCTGGGTAAAATATTCAGAAGGAGTAAATGGAGGGTGTCTGAACTGTGTTAGTTGTGGAGCTGATCATGGTATTAGAGCTTATAGGACTCCTGTAAGAGGCTGGAGAGGCTGAAGGGGTGAACAAAATATTATGCCATGACAGCTTGACCTCTGGTTTGGATCTTTATCCTGTCTCACCGATTCGTGTGTGATTCACATGATGTGTACAACATGGATAGAAACTACAGCTTGTTTGAGCCAGATTAGTCAATCCTGTAGGTAGATTGTTGGATGTGCGTTTTGCTAAGGGATTCTGAAATCTATGTTCAGGTGCAGCACTACAAATCAAATAGTAGATGCCTGTTGTGACAGTGTTAAGGTTTAAAATTCAACACAGTATGAAGATAAAATATAGTTTAAATTCTTGGTCTACAAAGCCCTTTAGCGTCTTCAAATTTTTCTGCAAGTCCTCATTTTCAATTTCCTGCAAATTGACCATAAGCAATTTTTACAATCTAGCAAAAGGGTTTTATAGTCATAAGTGCGCCCCATTAACAGTGGGATAACTTGTGTTTGCATTTTAAATATTCAATGTATCCTCATATAGGTGAATTCTGTACTCATTACTGCTTGTTACATCTGATTGATGAATATACTGTATCTACTTTTGTCATTGTTTTGCTTCTCAGGATCAGATCTTTATGGAGAATGTTGGTGCTGTAAAGCAGCTTTGTAAACTAACCAACAATCTTGAAGTCAGAATAGAAGAATTGGAACAGTGGAATAGGAAACTGGCCAGGCTGAAACGGATGAGCAGTTTAAAGTCAACAGTCAGTGAAGAAAGCAAAGTCAGGTACCTCTGTCTGGAATGTTCTCTGATAGTTGTCACAGAAATTGGTAAAGTGGTCTCTGCAGTAGAAGTGAAAACCAATTTTGCTTGATAGTGGAGTTCAGCTCATTTCCAGCACTGAAGTTGTGCAAAAAATGCAAATTTCTCATGTTTTTTAACTCACTGACAAAATTAATATTTGAAATGGCTGTTAAATTGCAGTCACTTTTGTAATTGCTTCAGTTACGTAAAGCAAGGGTAGATTATGTCCAGTTACAGCCCTGGAGCTTGGAAATTGCTGCTAAAAGAAATCTGCAGAGCTGCTTCTGCAAGAAAGATTCTTCATTAGTGCTTCAGTGGAAGCAATGAGCATTTCCTATTTCTAAACCATTTCCCCAACTTTTCTTTGAAATCAAATGTAGCATTTAATAGCATTCACCTGAATGAGTTAACTGGAAGCCTTTGTTCTTGAAAATGAATCTGATGAAGCTTCTGTCTTTCTCTTTTTAAATGTTAAGATTGCAAAAGCAAGTGACATTAACACCCTATTGAAAATGTCTCTTTTTCATTTATTAGTTGCTGAAGCATTTGAATGCTAAAGAGATTTTGTCTCTTACAGCGGGTATAGTCGAGCTACTAGTCTTTTGCCATCAAAAAAATCAGTCCCGCTAAAATCCAGCAAGGTGAGTGAAATTAAATATATGGAATATGCCTATGAGAGAGGTTTTGTAAGTGATGAAATATTGGTGAAAGCTTTCATGTTTCTAAATATAGAATCAAATTCCTTAGCCAGAATGATTTAATGTCATGCCAGAATCTTAAAAACTAACTGTACTGAGAAAGACAACACATGAGAGACACTTCCACTTCTTGCCTATACATTGTGTGTGTGAGAGTAGATCCATGCTGTGTGACGGTGTGATGGAGGAGACCTCAACAGGAAAGAACTGTTGAGCCTGGGGGTGTGCTCACATGGTGCAGTGCAGCCTAACACAGAAACGCTCATTTCCGTTTGGAAGTCTGCACAGTGATAATTCTTCCTCAGCTTTCTTCCTTGGATGGGTCTTTCACTGTGGTTTGCAGTTAGCATCTCCTGTTTTGTACTGGATAATGCTGTCTTTCAGGTGGTTAAGACCTGGATAGGATGTTGCTGCTGTTGCCCAATTTCTTCCTCTTGCCCATATCCTGGTATAAAAAGAGGAGACCCCTTTTCACAGGGATTGAATGAGTTAGGGAATATATGTTGACCTTTTTCAAGACAGTCTTCCTAGGCTGCTAAGCCCCGTTCTTTAAGATGAACCAATGCTCATTTGCCTACCTTGCTTTTGCCAGTGCCAAAAAGCAAGAGAAAATAATACGTCAAATGTTCTTTATTCCATGACAATCAAATGCTCCATCACCTAAGATCATCCTACTTGTTTAGAAAGTGCCTTTCTCCTGTATTTACACCAGCCCTGGTTTAACATGGTCTGAGCACCTACTGAAAGATGCTCATCTTTTAGTTCTGGCCACTGATTACCGAGTTCTTGATTTGATTTTGAAATACTTCAAGTATGAAAAATGGCAGGGAGAAAAGAGAAGGAGCTGCTATTTTTAACTACCTTTTCTTCCTGGGTAATGTTTGTGTCCCCAGGCTGTCAACAGTGTGCAGTGCACTCACAGTTTTAGGGAGCCTCTCATTGCTTAAGTTTTTCTTTTTAGATGTTGACCCCTACACAAGGATGACTTGTATGGTTTCTTCCTCTGAAAGCAACAAGATTAACTGAAAGTTAGACTAGTGTAGTATTTCTCAATCTACTAGTAGTAGCTTAGTTATGTGCCACTTAAATTAACCAAACTTTTTTTTTTTCTAGGTTTGTTTGTCAAAGAGGAAAGAGTCTTGCTCCATGAAGATTTTCCGGGTGACTATAATAGCTTTGATTGCTATTATGGCACTATGGTAACAATTAATTATCAACAAGTTGACTTGTTTCCCCCTTCCCCTTTCTACTTATCTCATCAGAAAGAAGATTGCAATTTTTCTCTTCTTCTCACCTTTCCTACTCAAAGAACACAATGTATTAAAATTAACAGTGAATATGCCTGGTAATATTGTAAAGTTGAAATCGTTTTGGAAAAGTGAGATACTCATGTGGTGCACACACCACTAATCTCTGTCCATGTCACGATATGTGGCGAACCTTGATTGTATCTCAGTGGCTCATGCTACAGGTCCAAAGCTGGACTTGTGAGACTCTGCATGTTTTATGCAATCATTCTGTGCCTAAGTATGATTTCTGATGTACAGCGTGATTCTGTTGTGTGAAATGAAGCTGGGCTTGTTCCCAATGTGGTGGGCAGTCCTGTGACTCTGAAAGTTTGACTTGTGACATTGGGCTTGTGGAAAGGAAAGTATGTTCTGGACTTTTGAGATTGCTATTTTCTGTTTCCAGTCCAAAAACCTGTGGCTTACAATCTCTCTGTGAACTGAGTACTTTGAACTGGTGTTATGATTCTATTTACCATGGAAAACTGACCATATTTTCTGTTGAATTTAGCTGTGTGCAAGTATCTGACCTAAAACCCACTAAATTCAGTTGAAATTTTTCCCAGTAAAGGGAGAGTGGTCAGACAGTTAACTCTTACATTACTACATTTGGACAAGGTGCTGTCAAGGTATTATTCATATTATGTTACATAAGAGATGGATGTAAATCTACAGAATAATTCTCTTTCTGCAGCGCTTTGACAATATCGACCCTATATTTACTTAGTGTTCATGACAGACGTTTTGAAAAACATCCGTTTTACAGGCAAGTAGTTGAATCAGTGTTAGTGAATTAGAATTAGTAATAGATTGTGGACCAATCTGTTTTGGTCCACAACTCTGATGTCCATTTCTTAATGAATTGTTTTTCTTCATCAGCAGTACCTCAAGTTCTGTTGTACTCTCTCACTCTACCACTACAGCAGGTACTGTATCTCTGTTGGTCTGCATACACGTAACAGACTTTTAATTTCTGTGCTATTATAAAATGCTAATAGATACACAGCACTAGTGAGAATTATGTCTTTTTTTGTTTTCCTTTAGCATGGCAGGGGGAAAGCACAATTTCTCAGAGCACGCAACCCATCAGCAGGATCCCTGAAGTGAATTTCTGTGACATTTTGCCTTGTGACAAGGTCTATTGTTGTCCAATTCATCAACAAAAAGTCAAAACTCTAAGTTATGAGAAAACCAAAGCAGAGGAGCAACGTAAGTTGAAACATTAATTTCTATTATATACCATTTGAATAAACACTATATGAAGAGTGTGGGGGAAGGGGCAAGAATCTTTAAAGGCAATTAGCTTCCAACAAATGTGCCTAGTCCAGAGGATTTAAAAAATCCTGATATAACTAATCATCACTGCAGTCAATACATTTTTGAAAAATTTGGCCTGGTTACCTTTAAGAATTCTGGGTCCTAAGATGTTTTTTTAGGTGTCACTCTTCTTCCTGGCCATTCATGGTAAATGATTTCATGTGAACCAGAAAGTTAGTAATGCTTTTAATTAACCTTTGGCTACAGTTGGCCAGGAGTTGACTGGGGGTAGTGGAGCGTGAATTAACAGATGTAAAAAAACCCAAAACAATTAACGGTGTCACAGTGTGGTGATACTACATCTTTTCTGTGGGCAGAGACAGAAATTTAATTGCCAGAAAACAAAAAACTTAGAATTAAAGTTACTCATTCAGGCAGGGATTTTGAGTAGAAAAATGTTATTTGAAGGCAGAGCTCTATGAAATAAATTACTTTTACCGGAATGAATTCTCTTTCAGATATTGTCTGCCAGATGTTATGTGTGTAATATGAGTAGGTGTATTGTTTACAACTTTCATAATATCTATAAGACAGATTTTATACATAAAGATATGTACAAGTTGTTGGAATCTGTATTCCTCTTTCCCAGACCTTAACATTGTCAGTGTCTGGAAGCATGTGTTAGTATTACTAAACCCAGCATCCACACTCTTCCTTTCTTGGCCTTGGGAACAATTCTTGCACCAACCACCGTTGACAAGTTGGGGTGCAATCGGGGATGAATGCAGTTCAGCCTCTGAAGTACAAATGTCTACCAGGGCAGGCATTGCCAATTGCTGTGACACTCTCACCACACAAAATGTTTCAGTGGGATTCACCCACTGGCCATTCTTTATACTGCAAAGAGCTGTTGTCTGCAGACAAGCTGCATGTAAGCGGTCCTTGTAGTTCTTGTGATTAGTGCTGCAGTAAGCCCTGTGGCAGGTATAGCTCAATAGAGTGCTTTCCAGAGGTCATACCTAAGTGATTTGTATTGCTCTGAAGCCTGAAAGAGTGACAGAGTGTTGCTTAATTAAAAAGACATTAATCTCATTTACAAATGAGGGCGCTGTAGACGGAAGAGAATGAAATATGAAACCCTTCTATCCCCAGCTGGCTGCTTTTGATATTAGGTGGAAGGAGAAGATAAGAATAAACACAAAGCATTACCTTCTCAAGGTCTTATGCTCCAAATAGCATTAAGTGTGGATCCAAGAGTGAAAAATCTGCACAGTACACAAGCTACTGAAAGATTTCAGATCTGCACAAGTTTAATGAAGCTGAACATATCCCCAGATGGAAGGTAACAATGTCAATATGAAATCCAAACAGAAGGAAAACCAACAAGCTGCTTAATGTAGCTGTAGCCAAGATAAATGAAAAGGAAAATGTTTTCAGAACAAAAAGCTAAGAGTTAAATACGGGGAATAATCAAGATAAACAGTGGATATTTTAGAATCAGCTGATTAGTCTGATTCATGGAAAGATAAAACTATTTGACATTACAGTTGAATTAAATGCTAATTTGGGAGTTCATATTTAACAGACCTTTTACTGCTCCACTGTGTGATACCTGAATTCTGTGGGTGCAGGCTACTACTGAGTGCATCCAGTGTAGATCCTAATCCCTTGCATCTCGGATTTGCTGAGAAGGCTGTTAGGAGTGTTGAAGTAGAAACAAAAGCATTCATAAGCAAGAGAGAATGTATTAAACAGAAGTTCAGCACATCTTTATGTAGTCTACCTTAATGTGGCCTTTTTACTCATGCTTTATTTGTTTTAAGAACTGGTTTCTCTGAAGGATTTTGAATTTTGAACTCCTATTGATTTCGGTGGAAAGGAGGAGCGTGAATACCCTTCAGCATATGGGCCTTTTCCGCTCTCTGCTTCCATGCCATTAGTTCTCATTGCTTGCCCGCGTCGTGTTAAGTGTCACTGGTAACCAGGGGCTGTCCGTACTTTCTCTTAGAGTGTGTTTCTCCCTGATTTCTATCCTTTCACAATAAAAGCTTGGTGAGGGTCCCTGCCAGAGTTTGGTCAACCTCATGCATTTTCATTTATTGCATTCAGATGGTAGTTAACGGATTCATAGCAAGGTACTACCACAAGAAATCATCAGCAGGTTTTTTCCATGCTGCTTATAGAATGTTACAACTCATGTGAATTAAAACCAGAAAGTGCTTGAGGGGAAAAAAAGGATCCCAAATCTATTGGATGAGTTTACCGAGTTTATCTGAATCTTATCTGAAGATAATGCTTGTCCTCATTACATTCTGGTCATGCTCGTACTTTTATATTTGTTATTGAAATGGATCTTCACACCCTACATGGGCCTTTGAGAAAGCCCTCGGAGTTACCATATGTGACAGAGTGGAAGTTTACCACAATATATTGAGGCTGCTACAGTGGTTTTTGGTGGTTCCTGGTGTTCTCAATTGGCAACTTGAGCTCCAAATAAAAATAAGTTCAGGGTCCTGTTTTCTACATTTCATTTGGATTGCATCAGCTTAAAGGACAATGAAATAGTAATTTTATGAAGACTAAAAAACCAAGTAAAAATAATTTTCTATACTGATTACTGACTCGGTTTAAATAGTTGAAATCTTAGTGAAGTAAATCTGTCTTCATCCTAGTTTTTATACAAATTCCTGATACCCTCTTAATGCTTTCTTCCGTCATCTGTCAAAGAATCACAGTATTCAACGTTTAGTAATTCAGAGTATGTAATAAATATTCCTGCCAACACTTGCATAGCTGAAGTATTGTATCTACAGGGAGAACATCTTTCTTTCAGTGAGCAATATTTTACCTTTACCGGGGGATATAGGTTTTCCTACAGAACAGTTCTCTGTTAATGAAAATGTAAAAAGGCAGGGAACGTTTAATGCATTGCTAACATACCTAGACTATTAAGAGAAAAGAGAAGAAAGTGAAAGGAAGATGTGACAACTAGTTTGTAAATTAAAAGGAAGAATGGGAGAATGAATATGTATTTTTTTAGATCTGCCTCAACCTCAAGACCTACTGTACATGTATAACAGATGGCATGTGTTCAGTAGCCATTACGGTAGGTGTGTGGCAGCCGATCACAGTATAAAGAAACAGGACAGCAGATGACTACTAAATGCAACGGTTACCACCTAAGTTGGCAGAACTGGCAAATCTGTATGATGAGCAAGTAAATAAAAAATGGATTCAAGGAATAACTAGCAGCAGTATCACAGATTCATATCAAAACACAGAAATGGTGGAAATCCCAGAGATGATTTTGTATTACGTTGCTTCTGGGTCCTCAGGTTCCAGTTGTTAATGTTGTCCCACGCTTTCAGTCACCTACTAGCATGAGGAAAGCCTGAATTTTCATATTTCCCAATACTGAAATGAAAATCAAAATACGGAATTAATAATAAAACAGTAAGGTCAATCCAGCTTTCTTGTTTCAATCTCAGTGAAATAATGAATTTTGATCTTTCCTGTTGTAAAATAAATATTTATACAATGAAGCAGTGACTTCTGTTCTAAACAGTCATTTTGAAATCAGAATGTTTCCTTTGGAAAACATGGGAACGGAGCATTTTGGTATTCTAGAAACACATGATTCCGTTTTTTCCAAGATTAAATGGTATTTGATGAAGCATGTTAGTTTAGGCAACATCAACGTTTCTCAGTGCCAGTTTATTGGTAACATGTCTCTGGACAGATTCTTGGCTGGCAGTTAGTGTAAAAGCACAGGAATAGCTTTAAACCATTTCTTATAGGCTTGAAGCGCCTTTTGCCATTCCCAGGTTGTACAATATGATGATTATTCAAAAGATCTTTTGATGATCTTTTAAAGAGAAAATGAATAGAGTAAAAAAAAAAAAAATCAGCAGCTTACATTTCTCAGCCTAGTTCAATGTTTGAAATTACAGAGGTGACATCAGTGAACATGGTGATCATGTTGTTAGAGCTGTGTATTAGTTTCTTTAATTTGGTCCTTCTCTCTCTGAAGTACTGTGTCTCACTTGGGCCAGTCCTCAGTGTCTTACAACTCACATTCAAAAAGCTAAGTTATTCCCCTGGCCTATGTTTGCATGGCAGATGCCTGTTTATTCATTTTCTCACTAATAAGAAAGATGCAGCTTTATGATCAGATTTGTGCTGAAGTGCCTGACTGGATGTTGACTTTCACTTTGCCTCTCTATTAATTATAACAATTGGTGATATTCTGTGTGTGGGATGAAATCTTTTCTATTAGGCTATTTTTGAAATGTTTTAGGTACCCTGTAGAATTTGAAAAGCTTATTTCTTGTTATCTACAAACTTCTTTTGACTGCATGTATCTTCTTCTGAATAGAGGTGCTTCGTATTTTCAAGGTTTCTCTTGTTGGTTATGCATGCCTTTATCCAAGAGATAATTAATAAAACATCTTCTGGTGTTGTATTCATATTTTGCTGTTACAACTGTGCTGGGCTAACTTGGGGACATTTGTACATACATTCTTTCACAGGAAACAAAAGG